ACATACAAAAAATTAGTTGTATGTTAATGAATAATGCCGCAATATGAAGGAGCGATGCGAATATTTCCTCAAAACTAAGAACTTTCTGCGTCGTTATAAACAAAGTTACGATGTGTTTGTCTCTTCGTGTAAGAAGATAACGAGTATACTGTAGAGAATTCTAAGGCCTACGCATTTGAATAAAGTTCGTGGTTCAGGGTGCAGAATGCCTTTGGAATTGAGCTGCTACTTTTCATTACTGAGAAATTGCTACTACGATGATTCCAACATGTCCTCCTGATACAATTAGCGCACTTATTACTCATATATTATAGTTATTACTATTATTCTTATACACATCATATTTATATTCACTGGCCAAACACTACCTTGCAGGAAATGAAACAGGAAGCAAATAATACACCTGCCACATAGTTGCAGGAGAGAAGGAAAGAAAGCCTGAACCGTTGGTCATACGTACACTTACGTGATGAGGCGATCTATTGCTGGCACCGTTCACTATATGAAGATTACGGTCTTAGGCTGATTTCTGCCTCTATGTCATCAGCTGGGAATGCTTATTATTTGAAAAGTAAAATCTACAACTATGCAGCAATCATATGATATAATATGATTACAGTTTTCTGCTTCATTTTCACAGAATGGAACTCATTTATCAACGTCGAAAGGACGGAATGCGTGTGACCCAACCGGGGTCACTAAATTTCCTCAAAGAAATCTGAGTTCTAAGTCCAATCCTTTACCACCTGCGCTACCCCGGCCACAGCTGTAGACATTACTTTAAGCTAAGACACTATTTGTTGATTGCACATAAAGGAACACAGCCTCGAAAATATGCTTCATGAGAAAAGGGCATCTCTATGCAACTATAAATGGACGCCAAAATCATACTGGTCACAAACTGTTGATCACTCTCTCTAATCCTTGTTTGACTGATGGGCAGAAAATTCCTAGGAAGGCAACGAATGACCCAAAGTAAGCACGCAAAAGAACTTTACTCCACGCTAGAGATGTCTCCTAGTCACTGGCACAATCCAACAACAACAGCGTTTACAGCTAGCGTTGACAAACACACTGGACAATCAGTTTTCAGGTGGGAAAACACGGTTTGCAAGTCTAAGAAGCAGTCGCTGGAGACAAAATGGCAGCTCTCGCCCTTCTTATACGGTAACTGTTGTTCACAACAGCTTGTTACTCATTAACAAGATGACGTACACACACCGATGACAAAAAAAACGCATATGTGAATTCACCTAATATAGCAGCAAAAAAAATAACAAAAATAATATTTGATGGTAACAATCTTTGATATACCTTCTGCGTTTACTGTCACACTCATATATTCACTATTATCACTACAAAGATATGACTAAAAACAAAAAAACTAGTAGCATGAAACAGTCGAAATACTCCATTTCATTTGCTAGATCTAACCTGACATATCAGGAATAACAGAAATCAGGCAAGCCTGTCATATCACCCGTTTCAAACATCAAACCAGCAAAACAAAACCTGTAACTCACGGAAGAAGTACGATACCTTTATGCTGTTCAGCTTAGCGGCAGTTAGCAATGATCTGGCATCCAAAACAGCCTGGAATGTACGAAGGCAGTTGCCGTTGGATGCAACGAAGCAAGAACTTGGCGAATTACTGTTGTTGCCCAAGGAAAAACTAAAATATTACTAAATACTCATCTGAAAAAATCAGGTCTGATTTACTGCAGAAATGCCAAATATACTAACAAAAATTTATTTTGTTAACACGTCATCAGTGAAATTGTATGGAAAGATCGAACTAGCAGAACGGAGACGAAAATCATCATTCTGAAAGCAACCATATTGGCGGTGCTCATGTATAGTCCCGAAACATTCGATATCTTGAAGTGTCAGGAATCTCGTTTAGCAAGCTTCCAACAACGCTGGATACAAGGTAGCCTCTGAATATGATGGTACCACCCCACCATATTTACGAAAGAGCAGGTGCTGACAGCAAGAAGCCTGACAAACTTTCAGAGACAAATGCATTAAACCAGTGCCTGGCTTGATTTAACAAAACGGCCCAAAAACAGAACGAATATAGATTCAAAACCTTTCTCATGCATCAGCTACATACGCGTTGGAGGACAACACAAAACCGGAGAACGTCATTGAGACAGGCTTGCTTGCGAAGAGGAATATGACTCTTATCGTAATGTAAATATCAATCTGAAGTACATCACTGCTAACGGGGGCATAATAAATCTGGGTTACTACGCTCCTAAAGTTGTGTTAACCTCAGATAAGGATGACGAAACAACAACAGCAAATTAATGATCTTATTAACGATTATGGATCCATGGTTTAAGGTGACAACTGAAAAAGACTAAGTATATTCATTTCCTCAGAGACGCGTTTCCACGCTGCGTACCAGCGTCATCATCAGGGTTATGAATAAACGTTTTCAGTTGTTTCCTTCGTCAGTTCACAAAAATATTAAATATACAACCTATTGTAAAGTAACTTACATACACCGTCAACAAGATAGTGGTCTTGAGAAAGAAATAATTTTTCGCTTTACTCATCCATTAGAGTTTGACATCCGTAAGTTATCAGAGATGATAAAAATAAAATTTAATAATGCACATACAGTTACATACAATACAAATCATTACGATACAATTGACGGCGTCACCTATTTCTCGAAGCAAATTTTATCGCTGTTACATATCATCGCTTGTCGATATGCCTTGTGATAGCTTCAGTATTTGACACCGAAATGTCACATTAAATAAATAAATTTTTAACGCCATAAATCACATTAAATTAAATTTTTCTCAGGAGTACTGAAAATGAAGCTTAAAAAAGCTTCTTTTTTCTAAAGTGCCTGGTAAATAATAGTTAATGACTACAAAACGATCAAAATAATAACTAAGAATGCAATGACAGTCGTACCTTGGCAAAACCGTGGGTACCCAGGCTACCCTCGAAAACGCTGACAGCTCCAGACTGTTAATGCGAGCCAGCTCTTCAACGCCTCCTTCTTTACGAAGAGGTCCCACTGGATTCACCTGAAATTGAACAGTTGCTGTAATAACCCAAAGGCGAGTTAGTCGCTTCAAATATCAGGCATAATTAAAATTAATTAATTTACTTGCACAGTACAAGTATTTAAGGCGCATTTCATATGTATATGTGAACGTATGAATTAAAGAACAAAAGGGGCCATTATAAATCACCCCCTTACGAACGTTTCAACTTCATCAACTCATGAATTACCATGTATTGCATTAAGACGATGTTGAAGGAACTGATCAACAGCGCGATATAGTACAACTGCTTATCAGAGAATCAGTGGACATATCTGTCAACAAAACGGGGCACACCGCAATGGTGTTCGTTTGACAGTCATGCTGAAACATTGCTTTAGATATCTTCTTGACTGGTTCTTCTTCGCAATTAGCGGGAGACACCACTGTCTTGTCTTGATGGCCTCGCTCATCTGCCTCGTGTGATTTATCGCCACAAGCGTCCATGTCCGTTGTTTAGCCCATCATTCCATCTGAGCCAAGGGTTATAACTGGACGCTTGGAGCTAAATCCGTCCCTGCAAAAACTATCTACGTGCACGTGACTTGCAAATTTCTTTTTCTTTTCGAAAATTTCCATTAGTCTTCTTAATGCTGTATTTTGCAGCTTTACTAAAATACCTAGCATCATTCTCTCCATAGCTCGCTGCTGCACTTTAACAATTCATCATCACTTTTCGCTAACGTGTATTTCCCGCAACTGTATGTGGCTATTGGCAATACCGTATATTCACTGAGGATATAACTGCAGTAGGTAATTTTCCGCTTTCAAGCATGTCAGGATTCTTCTGTATGCATGGTTCGTCACAGAAGCCAGTGGTCTGACAAGATTAGCTGTCAAAAACAAATATACCCAGTGACTTATTCTACACGATAATAATTTATGGTAACTGTAGGTGATCGTGTGAATTAGTTTCTCATCAGTTTCAAATTCGCTCTATTTATCCAAAAGACAACTTGATTGCTCTTTATCTCTAACTTACATGACACTGCTTCAATTCCTTAGGCCTTCGTTCCCAACGGGCATGGTGCAGTCAGTAAATGGAACATACGTCCGCCGTCTACCGTTGTTTGAATATCATAACCGTTATTAGTTACTAATTACTACCATTATTAATTAATCATTTAATTTTTTAGACGATACATTTCATAAATCTTGCTCACTTTGCATTGGTAATAGTCAAACTAACTGATCAAAACTCTAATAACAGCGTTTTTTTAAATCAACACGAACATAAACGATAGTATCATAAAAGTAGTGAATATTGTGAGCTTTGCATTATAGGAGCGATAGTTAAGTTTGTCCTAACCAAGCGTCGAACATAGTCACTACAATTACCTACATTCTTTTTGTAATTGTAATTTTTAGTCGCGTATCAGAACTACTGGCAAAGAGTCATGATA